CAAATTAAGGAGTTTGTGAATTTTAAAAACGTAATTTATAAATTGATAAAGTGGTTTTATCAACTGTGTTTATTTACGAGGTCTGTAAAGGAAATGCATTTTTTCAGTGTGTCAAAATCATGCGACCTGCTCAAAAGTACATGCGAAAGCTGGTACAGTGCGATGACTTAAGCTCGACTGATTCACTGCGACATTTACTCAAAATTGGTGATCATATCAATGGACATCTTGGAAAAATTGGCTTAACGTAATTTGAATTGATTTCTTTGTTTCACATTTATATTTTCATTATAAGAAGTCCAATATTTCTATATTTCTTTTCTTTCTAAACATCACTTTACAATTTTTAGGAATGGTACACTGTAAATAATTGAAAAATATACAGTAATGTTGACATGCTAAGTTTTTATAACAAGATACCTAAGCCTAAAAAATTAAAAGCCTTTTGTAAAATTGCACTTATATCAATGAACAAAACTAAAAAGAAGATAGAAAAAAAAAACGTGCTCATTGGGGATTCCCGCTTTTTTCTAAAATACAGCTATTTGAAAGTCTATTTTTTAACATCCCCTTTATGTTATTCAGCACTTTTTGGATGACCCTTACAGTCAAATTGCATTTTACAATTTCAATGCACGTGTTCAGATTTCACATTTCGTTTTGGGTTCATGTAATTAAATTACCCTTATAAAGAAATCACTTGATGTAACTATGTTTGATATCTTACTGTGTTTAATCTAATTGCTTTTTTTAAATCCTTCTGCTCATTGCAGTCTAATTATTTTAAATTCCTAATTACAGTCTGCGAATTTAATTGATACTTAATTACAGTAAATCACAACTTGTGGAAAAATGGCACTCTTATTTATGGATTTTTTTGTCGTGTTTTACTCGCCAAGAACCCAGCGACCTACTCCAACGCTATCGTATTGCTGCAAAAGATCGTGCTAGTAATAATGAAACTGTATGATTTGATTTGGTTATTTGCCTGAAATTTTCAAAAAAATTAAGCAATTTTGGCGTTTTAGTTATCCCAAAGTTTATGAATTCAAGTACTCGACAATTGACGTTTTTTCCACTAAAAGTTTTCTATATTTGAAATTTCTGACAGGATTTTGTGAAAATTTTTTGTTTAAACTGTAAAGGAATGTAGTTTTTTTCTAGGATTCTCATCGTAAGCATCACCATCATCGTCATCACCATCATCATCACAATGCTAAGAAAAGTCAACAAGATGATAAACCAACAGCTGACACAAATGAAGTTATGGATATTGGTACTGCTATAGGTGAACGAAAAGAAGACAGTAATATGATTACAATTGAAAGCGATCGAAGAATTAATAAGAATTCAAAATATATTCGTTTAAGCAATGATGGGTGTCCACTAACGAGGCATCATTCGAGTAGACCAGAAATTCAAAAACTACAACATTCCGTAAGACATGGAGTCAAGGATGACAATCGGTTAGTCGATAAAACTTTGAGAATTTTTGATGTGAATTCATGAACTATAATTCGTGACAGTTGGTTTATTCCAAATCTTTTCCATGTTAAACGTTCGGCCACAACTTTGTTGGTTTACTGATATGCTTTTTAATTGAAATAAGAACATATAGATTTCTTGTAAGAAATTCAATGTTTTCAACTAGAATACATTCAGCATTATGTTTGTTAAGATAATTGAATTTTTTGCTTTGCTCTCCTTAGGTGAATGTTTTGATTTTTATCATCTGTACTTAGTAATATTTCTTTTGAGTGTTGAAGTCATTAAGTCTTCTGATGACAGTTTAGAACAGGAAAGAGGCAAATTTTATATTGTGGTGGGAGAAACTAATTAGAAGTGCTCAGTCTTTATATCAGAAACACATATATGGAACATATAGTACTTTCTAAACATAAATTGCATTGAAGATAAAGATTTGAGAAGAAAATTTTCGGTTGAATTCAAGTAGTTTTTTATAATTTTGACTGGAATTAATAAACTTTAAAATTAATGTAGAGCTGGTATATCAAACGACGATTTTGACACTTATAAGCCATCTGTGTCGCAATTGCAACAACCCAGTTTATTATATTCGAGCCATAATGAGAATGATAGCTATAAAGATTCGTCGTATCGATACCGCGGGGATTACAGTGGCAGCAGTGGAAGCAGTTTCCATCGTACTCATTATAATCACACAAATTATCGAGACAGAGCAAGAGGTGGGCGACATGAGCACTATCCTTATAGGGAACATCGACGAGAGCACATTTACAACCGTGACAAAGGTATGTTTGGATATTTTGACATGAAGATTTTCATTACTAGTACGCTTTGTGCTTTTGTACTATATTGGATTTGTAAGATCAATGACTTGACTCCTGTTATTGATTTGATTCTACTTCCTAAGAAACGCAATATTTCCAAGCTTATTTTCTCCAGATTAAACTGCAGTGATTGTTGCTAAGTGAAGCTTAGTTTATTACAGTGCAGGAATATATTCATCTCAGTAAAAAGTAATAACAATTTTTAGGTGATCGAACTTCATACTGGGAACGAAGTTACACAGATCTGTATCGTGATCACGGTGATCGTGATTATCGGCAAGAATTCCGTCATGCGTCCGGTCCATCTAGCTCTAGTGCTAATAGCAGTTCGTCACAGTGGTCTGGAACACCAGCCGGCTTATCATCTCATTCTGCTCCATCACTCCTGAACGGTCCTGCTTCATCTTTTAGTTCTTCATTATGTCCTCCACCTGGACTGCTTGAAATCAAACCTCTGTCATCCGTCGCCACTGAACCCAGTACATCCCATACATCGTTTATGCGACCACCACCGATACCACCACATCTCAATCGTTTTGGAACCAGTGATCCCACTACCAGTAAAATAGATAGTACCAGAGATCCAAGAAGGTAGTGTTAAAACTCACTTCATTTTCTATGTTTTTCCTCTTTCCTTTCAAAATATTACGGGTCAAGCAACTATGCACATGATTTGTACATTTATTTTAGAATTTCAATAAAAGGCTAAAAGGCAAATTTTAGTTCGTCACTGCTTTAATTTAAGAAAGAAGTTGCAAAAAATTGTTCCCTACTCTGCATTGTATGGAATTTTTGCAGAAATTTTCCGCATCTTGTTTTAATGATTTTCCGAAATCTCTTTTTTTGTATGAGAATTGTTTAAAGAAAGCATGGTACCTAAAATATTGAGTTAAAATTGTGATTAGCAGTTTAGCACCCGAAGTTTTTCTTTTTTGAAATTATTTACTATTGCTTGCCTGTTTTGTGCATATTTATAAGTGATTGTTAATATGTTAATAATAGGAATGAACTAAATAATGGAAGTGGGATTTTAGAAAAAGCTTTGTTTTTCGTCTTTTCCACGTAAGGAAATCTATAAGCTTCCATATTTAATTACCAGAACAGTTAAATATGTCAAAAACTTGGAGGTTCGGTTAACTGTTAAGATTTGGGTGGTACATGCGGTGGAATTCGAGTGACATATCAAATCTATTTGTGAAGCGGTAACTGATGTTAGTCATGCTAGTACAAACTCAATGATGTAAAGTTTACGTGGCGATAATCTCGCTTTTTTTTTTGTTTTAAAACTTTCTCTTCCATATTTCGTGCCGTAACAAACTATTCATGTACTATTTTTGCATATTTCTGAATCGTTGTCTATTTACATTACTTCCCGCTCCTTTATGTATTGTTTCTGACTACCTATTTCACCTAATTTGTATTAAATAATATATGGTAGAGTGTATTTGACCATATATTTTCAAACTATGATCATATGCAATAACTGGTAGATATGCACGGTTTTAATTATTTCTGCAATCATTCATATCACCGTGAATCCCTGATATCAATAGACATCAAATGGAGTGACCAATAGGACAACGACCTTTGATGATAGCAGGAATGGCTTCGGTAGAGATTGAATTCAGCTGGTTAAGAGGTTGTTGGGGTAATATATCGTTGTAATAATTGGAGTTCAGGAGTGAGGGATAACTGGGAACTATAAAGTAATTGGATATCAAGGCTATAACTTCTTGCAATTATGGGTAGGATGATTCGAATTAACAATATAAAGCCCGAACTGGAATTACACAAGTATGGGTCAATTCAAATTTAAGCTATGACGAATTATTCCAGGATACGGCACACTTCATGTATAAAGAAGTGTGGATTACGCATTATCATTGATATTAAAAATAATGCGTGGAAACAATCGCTTCATATTAAAGATAATACGTGGTCTGACTCTCGAAGACAAGTCAAATTATCGGAACGTACATTTACTTTCTTTGAAAACATAAGCAAATCTAGTAACTGAGGAAGGAGGGGAGAGTAAAGAATTAGAAGGACTAGAAAGGAATTCGAAAAATGAAATTCTGTGCTTAGTTTATGCCATAGTGCGTGCATCTCAATTTCTTTCCACTCATAACTAGTCGTAAGTCCGTATATTTAATTAAGTTAGAGTTAAAAGTCAGTTGTTCTTGCGAACTTGACATGCGTGACCACTAAACGAATTAAGTGACCACCCCACGTAGGACCAATCACCACCAATATCACTTGTAGTGCTTACATTTAACGGGCCACTACTCTCGCGTTACGGCCATATTAGTTGTTGTTGCGACGGGTGTAGTAGGTCTTTGTCCGGTCGCTGCTTCGCGGGGTGATTGCTGGTGTGTTTGAGGGTTTGGGGTGGTCGTGTGTTTTTGGTGGTGCGGGAGATTGCTATTCGGGGTGGAAATAGACTCGGTATGAAGTATATATCGGGATGGGATTGCGGGAATGATTACAATGGGATGAGTCATTGTGGGACAATTGAAATCTTAATTTCTAATTTTGTCTGGTTTAAGATAGGAAATAATGAAAAGATACATGTTTTCATAATTTTTTGATTGAAATACTATTATCGAACTTAGACATGAAGTTGTCATAATTAATTATCTTGCTGAACTTTTATATCCTTTTCAATAGTTTCCAAAATTTAGACCAATAATGACGGATTCTGGTAGTGATGATGAGGTTCAAAACAAAATAAATCTGAAAGTGAAGACTACTACGGAAGGCTATGATGTTATGGTGTCGGAAAAAGCTACCGTTTTAAAGGTTGCGTTTGTTTCATTGTATAACCTTTTTGTTTCTGCTATTTTACATCTAGAATGTTGTTTTTTTTTTTTGTCATTATTGATTATGCTGTTCACATACAATTGCTTTTAAAATTCGTTTCTTATATGAAATATGGAGGTGCCATAGGCCACAAATTCTCTGTTTGTTTTATTCTTTGTTTGGTTGTGCATGCCATCACAGCACTGGTGGAACATGACTGGGAAAGTACTTTTCATCACATTTTTTTTTTATTCCAGTGAAAATTAAGATCGAAAATTAGAGATCCATATTATTATAATGATTGAAATTCCAGGTTAAGGCAGTATTGTCAGAAAAAATTAATCAACCACCTGAAAAACTTTGTCTCATATTTTCCGGGAAGATTCTGAAAGATCATGAGACACTCAATAAACTTTGTAAGTTTAATTTTACTTTGGCTTTCTGTAGTACTTTTCTGGGAAACTCTTCTTTATAAGTAGAGTTAATAATGATTGCGACAATTTATTACTGGCATTGTATCCCTAATCTCTTTCCCAGTAATATTCAGGAATAGTTTATATGAGATTGATAAGGACACATTAAAGGGAATAATAGCTTGGTTTGAATTGGATATTTTATATTTTATAGTGATCATATTTCGTTACTGTTTTAAATCTTTTAAACAAATTAATTTCAGCGATTAGAGATGGTATGGCGATTCATCTTGTTATACGTAATTCACAGCGGGTAAGAAAAATTTCATTTAATTTTTATTCGTTCGATTTTTTTTTTTTTAAGATTAACTTTATTTCTATTTTATTGGCTACTATTAACGTATTACAGCCCGCTGCAGCTAGCACTGCTTCTGGAACTGGATCAACTCCAGTAAGTTTCTTATTGCTTTTGATTTTCAAAAATTATATTCACAGTTGTAATAACTCAAATGTTTGCATTAAATATTTCTTTCGCCTAAACTTTATATTCTTAACACATTCTTTCTCCTTGCTCTTTAGTTTTTCTCAAAGTTATTTGTTGAAACAGAGTGCAACATTGGGAGGAAATCCGATGGGTGGTGCATTAGGAATGGCGCAGCACATGATGCAAAACCCGGATGCAATACGCGAGATGACGAACAGCCCAATAGTTCAATCATTGTTGAACAATCCAGACATAATACGGTCACTGATTGCTGATAATCCACAAATTCAGCAAGTTATTGAGGTAATACTTTCTCCTTTCTGTTTTTATCACAAAACTTGAGGAATAATAAGAATTACTGAGCTGCTGAATTTGTAACCTGAATTACGTATTGGTCGCTTTTGATCGGTCAATTAATTCCAAGTGTTTGTTTAAGTCAAATCCTGAGCTTGGCCATTTGTTGAATGATCCGGAAGTTATTCGACAAACGATCGAGATGGTGAGAAATCCGAGTATGTTCCAAGAGTTAATGCGTAGCCGAGACCAAGCAATACGGAATCTTCAGGTTTTAATTAATGCTGTTTTATTACCGTCTGATTTGCAGCTAATATTAAAACTTACAAAATTTACAATTTATAGTTTTCTTCAATTTAAATGTAATGTTAGGTCCTAAGAGTTGATTGATTGAATGAATGGTCACTTCAGGGTATTCCGGGTGGACAAGCAGCGTTACAACGTTTATACCAGGATGTACAGGAACCACTGTTGAACAGTGCAACAAGTACTTTTGCTAACAATCCTTTCGCAACTTTAGCAGATAATTCCAATAATACAGGTTAGATTTTCTATGCCTTATATTATCTTTTATTAAGATATTCTTTTTTTGAATTAGGAATCATATTATATGTTGACCAATCAACAGTTCGCTGCCAAAACATTTCCAGTCATATAGCTATTATTTAGCATCACGTAGCCAACATGCAGGTGTTGAAAATGCCGAAGCATTGCCAAATCCTTGGGGTAATGCTACCAACACATCTGGTTCCACTCCTGCTAGTACAGGCCTTGGTAATGGTGCTTCTCAATCTTCCGCAAATTTACTGGCTGGTAAGTTGCTTTCACTACTTTAATGTCTTCATTTTCGCATTTTTCCTAGCACCAGTAGTTATATGGTTTAATTCCCCATGAAGCAAAATATGCACAAAATAGCCTAGTTCTGGTGCTATAGTGCATTGGATAAGTTTTTTTTTTTTTCTCCTCTTCTTTCCTCTCTATTTCTCATATATTTTATTGTGTTCCCATCTCAGGAAGTGAATAATCTGGTCATTAATGGTTTGATTTCCAGTTTTGATCGCTGAATAAAGATAATAGATAGAATCTTGTATCTCACTGCCTGTAGCTTCCCTCTTTATGCACCTCACCCGTCGCTCCCTAAAAAAAGAATGTAATCAGAACCAAGTTAAAAGTTAAATTCATTGATAGAAGTGGAGTGAATTAATTTGGAGGTTTGCACAGAATTATATATACATATATAATTGTTTACTTATTTATATATATATATTCGTGCTTATTTATTTATATATAGAACCTATTGCCGTTTACGTATAATTATTTTATATTTCTTAATATTTTCGTTGTAGAACTTGCAAATACCCTTGGTATGCCGGAAAATCCACCAATGTTATCTGACTCGAATGCTTATACACGACTGCTCAATAGCGAGGCGTTTACTAATACTATGAATATGATTCGACAGAATCCATCGTTGTTATCACAGGTTTACAGTTTTCCTTTTTTAATTTAATTTCTTGTATTTATGTTTGAAAAGCATGAAAAATATGTTGCTCATAATTTCAGATGCTAGCATCAGGCCCCGCAGTTTCATCGACTATGGAGCAGTACATACGGAATGCTATGCCACATTTTCGAAATACCGTAAGACTTTATATATTTTTTTAAAATGAAATCTAAATTTAAGATAGGTGGTCGAAAAAACTACTTTTTCTGTCGAATTATCCTTAACAGCAAACATCGTAACTATCATCCAAATTTGTGCTAATTTCAGTTTTTGAAATTTTGTATTAACGCTTCTAGATCTGGAATTTATTTTATTTACATTAACAAGCTATGAACGGTATATTATCCTGATTTTAGAACAAGAAATTCATCTTGAATTAATAGGAATTTAAGGTCAGTTTTGGCATTTGTTTATTGAATTTTCAGATGCAAAATCCAGAAATGTTGCGAACAATTTCTAATCCGAGAGTGCTCGAAGCATTCCATCAAATTCACACTGGCATGGATACTTTACGTCGTGAAGCTCCACAGCTTCTACCTCCTGGATTGTAAGTAGATTTTTTTGTTTCCTAGTATTCACATAAAAGTAGTAGGAACTTATAAAATATAAGATTTTTTCCTGTCGTTTTGCAACATTGACTTTTCAGTTTTTCAACCGCTGCAGCAGCGACTACGACGACACCCAGTACAAATGCTAGGTTTCCCGTTTTTTCATTTCTTTTATGATATCAAAGTTACAAATTTTTTTTGCCTGAAAACCGGAAGAGCGAAGTGTAAAATGATCATCGATCGATTGATTAAAAAAAAATACATACTAATAATAATGTAAAGATAAGGTATTTAAAAACTTTTGTTTTTTTTAAGTGATTCAACTACAACTGGCACAGCACAAGGTACGGGAACAACGGCAACAACGACTTCCTCCGCTCCGACTACCGAACAAGCAATGATGATGCTTAATTTAATTAGACAAATGACTGGCGCTACTCTTGTAAGTTTGCTTTGTTCTTGATCATTTGGAAGTCAAAACAGTAGTAATCGTTCCAGAACACTAACATAGACCTGAAATTTTGCATTTTTCCATGGTCATTCAATGCTATAAGTAGTTTGGTTATTGGATACATGATTAAAATTGCAATCCACGTTTTATGATGCCGTTCTTTACTCATCCAGATCAAAGTATTATCTCAGATTTTTGAAATACCCATGATGTGGAGTGAAACTCGTTGTATCTTTCTTAGGATTTTTTTCCTTTTTTCTGAAGACAAGGTTTTCAGGGTGGGTCAACACAACCACCAGAAGAGCGTTATCGTAGTCAGTTAGAGCAATTGACAAGTATGGGATTCAGTAATCAAGAAGCGAATATTCAAGGTAATCTTAACATTTAACGGTTCTCAGATCTAGGAAGAGCTTTTAGAATCAGTTGACTATAAAATGTTCTCGGCTTTTTGTCTTTAATATTCTCTTTTCTACTAATTATAACCGCATCATCCTCTCCAACGTCAGATTTACCTTCCTGATTGCATAGCCTAATCAGAATTTTTATATGTTGTTCAGGCTAAGGATGACATAGTTGCATCTCGGCTTGCTTCAGGCTTGTGAAACGGTGTATTTAGGTTGAAATTTTTTTGCTACTTAAGATAATAACCAGTATTAAATTATGAAGCGGAGATTGTATGGAAGAGTAAGCATTTCGTTGTAACCCATAATGAACAAGTTTTAAAGTAGTTATTAAATGATATAATGAAGGAAAAGGAAGACGGAAACCTATGGTTGCAAAAATCATTTCCTTATTTGCAATGGTCGTATTATTTATAGGTAGCCATTTTTTCAGTCATATAAGCTTATTAATATCTTCCGGTATTTCAGTCAGTTATTTTTTTATTTTTTATCTTTCTCATAGTGTTTATGTTTTATTGTTCAAGTATATGAAAAATCTGCTGCCAAAACACCATAAGGGTAGTTTTCTAGTAAGCTGTAATAATTGTTTTATAGCATTACTGGCAACGTTTGGTGATGTAAATGCCGCTATCGATCGACTTCTGAGTGGTGCGGGACAGCAGTGATGTACACCACGTAAAAATCATTCGCCGCTTCTTATTGGTTATTCTGTCGAGATTTTATTGTAAATTTAAATGCGACTGCAAATGAAATTCACTTCTTTCATAAGCTTGAACCTTTCAAATGAAGTAAAATTATATCTGTCTTATGTCTTATTAACGTTCTGCTATTTGTATAAGTCGCGAACTCGTTCTTGATTATACGTAAATTGATGTGAGGCAGATACTTCATATGCAGTAAGATACACATGAAATGAGCAAAATTTGATTCCATCATTAAAACTATCAATAAGTTATTGTTTACATGCAAAAGCAACCTCATTTTGTGGCTCTGAATTTGGGATTTATTGAAGTTTCAATAATTCTATTAGACTTTTATTGAGACAAAAATTGTGATGCTTTTCATAAAATATCTCTTCCATTCCATCAATTAACAATAATTATCGTCCGGATATTCGGATGAATTAACTTTGCGAAAATCTTACCTGGTTTCTTGTTTTTGTTTTTGCAGGACTTTTACTAGCATTGGTTTCATTATAGAGAAAATTTTGCACTCAAGAAACAACGAAGCTTGCCTATTAAAACATACACCCTTGATTTTAATCTTGAGATTCTAGCTTCTCATTGAAATATGGTTTTACTAAATTCCTCTCCAAATTTCTTTCTCCCGTTTTTTTGTGAGCAGTTTTTCCTGCCGAAATTCAATTTTTATATTTTATCCATTGAATGGCAAATACGTGAGTTTGCATAATTGACACGAATTTCGTTATTCATTTTTCTCATCTGCTTCGTTGCAAATTTAGCCTCTCGAATGTGATAAATAGCTGAAATGTTGATTTTGCGCTAAAAGTTTTTTACAGATTGGTCATGGTACTCCCGTAGTTCTGAAATAAATTTTTTTTTTCTGATTCGGTTCGCAGCTAATGCGTAATGTCTGAACATGTTTGGGGCGCTGATATTACCCACCTTATAATTCAGGTTTTGCCTTGGGAATTAGTCCATTAATTCTGCATCATTTTAATTATGTGATGTCGATATGACATAAGAGAGAAGGCTTAGAGATGAAGTTGTAAAGGGATGGTCTAATAATTGAATAGAGTGCCGAGATATCGGTCTGAAATTTATGTAAACCAGGTAATCTGTCAAAAAAGTGTTGGAATTTCTTACCCGGTTCGAGTGGTGAAATAAATTTAATATCAAGTACGATAAGGAGATCGTTGTTACTTGAATGATGTAGTATCTAAATTGAGAGTTGCGCGGTGTTATGCTTTGATATCTATTATCAAATATGGATAGCACAAACATAATTAGCTTTCATCTTGAGAAAAGTTTTCAAAATTTGCCTAGAAAATTAGCTTAAATACATTCTCAATAAAATGGAAAAGTATTTTACAACAGATAATGTATTTTATCAAGCATATAGTGAGTAAGTAAATATAATTATTTTATCCATGGAGTTATTTTTGATTTTGTCATTGTTATACAATCATTATTGTTGCCATCTTACCAAATGACGACAACATAAATCATTTCTTATTTTAAAAGCATCATTTTTCCTTTCTGTCGCTAATTCCAAGGATTAAATATTTGTAGGATTGGTTATGATCTTCAGTGTTATTTATGAAACTAATCCATCATCCATCCAATGTATTCTTTTCCTTTTATCTTTTTTGCTTTTTTTTTTCTCTCTTTAAAAATAGTTTCTTTCTATTCAGTGATCGAGAAACAAACGACAATAAAGTATTCCTTTTACAGATTATTTTCTTCAAATTAAATATAAATTTAGTGATGGAATAAAGTATTTATTGATATTATTTAATGCAAATGCTGTTTAATAAAGGAAAATAATAAATTCATAGAAGTTTTAATCGATTTGTTTTACTTTGTTACTTCTGTGAAATTTGTTATTTGGTTTTCCCATCATATGATTACTTAAATAATTAATTTTTAATTAATAAAAATTAATTATTGTTTAAATACTTGATCCATTTACTTGTTTGCCGCATCTTCATATTTTATTTATTTCAACTAATTACTTTGACTATTCATTTGGTTTTTGTTGTTCGCTTAATTACTTGTTTGTTCGTTACCATTTGTCTTGTTTGTTAAGCAAATAATGCCATCTGCATATTTCATTCATCCATATGTATAAATTTTACAACAGTCTCATCTTTTCATTACAATTTTTTTTGCTTACTGTTGTCAAACAAAACTTTAGATGATACAATATGTGTTATGCATACTTGCATACTCTACTTTTCTTTAATAATTCATTTATTTGGTGACAGCATTTAATTTCTGTTACTTTTTAAATTTGTTCAACCTATGGTAATCAACGATGAATGTAAATGTGTTGTTTTGAAACTTTCGATTCAGTTTTATTTCCTAAATTCGATCAAAAAATTAGCTATTTTGAATTAAGAAGCTGAAATTGCTTTTGTTCCAATTTGGAAGGCATAATGAAATCTGATAGACATAAAAGGAGTTGATTGTATGTATACAACATTATCATTAGAAGGCTCGAAAGCAAAATCAACTAATTGCTTGCTGTCTTTATGGATTATTATATATTCTGCTATGTGACAAACATGGACATAAAAATTGTCCTAAAATAGCCAGATAATGCATATGTCATGAAAATGGTCCACAATTTTCCGGATTTTCTAAAATAAAATCTGAAACTTCAGAAACTGATGAAAGGATTTGTTACGCAATGTTTTTATACTTTCTTTAATATTAAAATGAAAAAAAAAAAGAAAAAAAACCGAAATAAAGTTTAAAGCTGAATGTAATTTAAGTTCTAAAATTTCAGAGTAAAATATTTAAGGTAAGATTTCTAGTTTCTTTAACGCAACAACAATTTAGTGTTCAAATATCTAAATTGCTTTTGAAAAAAAAAAACTCGTAGTATTTTAAGCACTTTTTTAAGACTCAAAAAAGTAGTAGTAATAATTAATAAATTCAGTAGTTGAAGGCGTAGAAATTTTATCTCGAATTAGGATGAATGGACGCTTATTCTCAGCAACCTCTATGGAAAGACTTTATGGATGGTTCAATTTAGTTCTTTCTGTCGTTTGGAAATGTCAGTTCGTAATATTTACGATCTTAACAATTGGCTTATTTGTGGAGCATTTGCCGCTACGTTAAATACTAAATTGTTAAGCATTGGAAAGATGGCGGTCAGTTGATTGATTAGTAGTAAATGGTAATAATAATATTTTGATGTGTACCGCTCAAAGTATATCTAGAGTTTCGTGCTCATTATTGATACTATTTGTTACTGCTCTTATGATGATGGTATTTTCCATTTTTGTAAAATTAAAATTTCTAGTAAAGGATATTTCTTTATGATTAGAGGATTTTGAAATTTGAAATCAAAATGATGAATGAAAGCGATAAAAGCATAATAGTAATACATATATTTAATCAAAAACAGCTGTGGTAGTTATGGTAGTAACTATGGTTTTGCATATCACAAAGTTATCAATAGTTATGATTGAAGTAATGAATAGAAAAAATTCATAACAGTGATAATAATGATAGTAGCAGTAATGATAATCAAGTGATGGCAAGGTTGACATATCATTTATCGCCGTGTGACTGTCCTAATCTTTCATTTATAATTCTTTTTATTTGACATTATAAATTTTGATGAAACAAAGCTAACAAATACAAAAGGAAAATGACAAAATGACCAAACTAGACAGAAATCAATGATGAACTGAATAATTAAACTATCAGATAAATCTTTCTTTCCCTACAGCAAAAACAAAATTGATCTGTCAGAAAAAGATTATTAGTAATAAGTGAAATAAATCATTTACTATAAAGATTGCATCAACATCATGATACATTTCATGAATTACCTATGTTTAGCATGAATGATTTATAAAACGAATTACTTATGAAATCAACATTTTCATCTGACAGTAATACGACATCAAATAATTCAAATTAATTCATTCATTAATTTAGATCAATCTTATCGAATTAGAAATGATGGCATCTTCTGCAATAATTCAGCAAAATTTGCTAATTATTCTTTTTATTTATGTGTAACTTTCTCAGCATATGCTATTGAAATATGATCCTTTAATTATTGCTTAATTAACTTATCTTTTTGATGACTCTTTTCCTTCCTTCAATTCATTTTATTTTTTTCATTTAAATATTTTCTTTTTTTTTTGGGAGATTTCCAATAAATTTTAATATGTGAAATAAAATTGTGAAATGATAATTATTTACTACAATTTCTTATAATTAATTGTTCTTAAAAGTATTGTAATTATTGAATGAGCAATTATAGTATAAATTTCACACATTTATTAAATCATTTCATTTTTCATTTAATTATTCCATCTCTTACAATTAATTCGACAAATTTGAACAATTAAAATGATTTACATGGAAAAAAAAACTTCATCTAAAATGTTGATTACCCATCATTTTTTAACACATATCGAATGCTGAAAATTTCCGGCTTGCCGTATCACCATATCGTCGTCCGGAAATACAGTACAGCTCGTTCTTTCTCCGGCAATATATTTATCATCATTTTTCGTAAAACAATCCAGCAGTCATTTTGCTATCAGTAGAATGTAATCGATTAAACATTCGGTAAATTCTAATTACACTTGAAATTTTATGAGTTTCATTCAGCTCAAATCTATTTAATTTCATTCAATTTCAATTTTTCGATGCTCTCAGTTCAACAAATCAATATAAAAACATGAAATTACGAATGGAAGGAAAGAGAGAGAGAAAAAAAAAATGAGAGGGAAGAGGAGTAATAGGCTGAGGTAATTTCAAAATTAAACAATGATGGATTTAATAACGATCGATGTAGATATTATGAGATAAAATTCTTAGAGAATATTATTTTCCATTAAGCATTTTTTTCCTTCTTTTCAAAAAAAAAAAAATGAAAAAATATTCAGATTTGGGAAAGAAAAAGAGAAACAATTTATGAAATTTGAGACAATGATTGCTTCTTCCATCATTTTGCA